CGGTCAGCTCAGCCATCCCCTCGCTGGAGGGAAGACTGATTGCTACAAGAGGACACCGGACCGCGTGAAGTGGAGCTCGCCTGAGCCTGGTGGGAAGCTCCGCATTGAGATGACAGCTGCCTGCAGGCCGCCTGTCCCCACTTGAGCGGCGGGCAAGGGCGGGGGACTCACCCAGGCAGAGCAGCAGCGCGGGGACCTGGCAGGCGCGGAGCGGCTCCATCATCGTCTCCTGAGGTGAGCGTCTGCGGGGCGCGGGCTGGGCGCGGGCTGGGGGGGCGCGTTGAGCAGAGCCGGAGGGGCCACGCGGCTGCCACGTCCGTCCGACAACCCGCCTGCCAGGCAAGTGAGTTCGACGGCCCCGCGCCGCGACCTTTATAAGTCTGGGGAGGGGCCGCGGGCCCGAGGACTAACTAGCGGGGTGAGGTACAAAGTGCCCAGAGTTTCATAATCGGCCCTGAGGGAGGAGTGGCCCGAGGACTGTCCGGATGTCATCCTCCCTCTGTGAACACCTGAGAGTGGCTGAGGAATGAAAAATTGCCCTTCTGGTGAGCCGGGGACTACTCCCCAAACTTTTCCATCTTCTTCTCGGGCTCCTGCGGGAGGAGGTGGGGAGCATGGACCAGAAGGGTTGGTTTGCTCCGTGGGGTCACCAGCCGGATAGTGGGTGGTGTTTTTAGTTGCTCTGGGTGACAGGCATAACCTGAATCAGTCAGCCGGCCAGCCCGAGCTGGAGCTCCCACTACATGCTTTTGGAAAGGGGTGTGTGTGTGTGTGTGTGTGTGAGACTTGTGTACATTCTTGAAATCTGTCAGTGGCTCGAGGGCTCTCCTTGTACCCGCCACCGCCCAGAGGTGTTTTTCGGGTCTGCACCTTCCTTTGCAGCCCCTCTGCTTCCTGCCTGGTACAATAGTTATGGCTTCAAAGCATAGTTATTATGAAGAAAAGCCCCTAAATTATGTTTTTTTCTGTCGTGTTTGCCATCCATCAGCCTGCTGCTTTTGATTTACTTTCCCCGAATTTTGCTTTAATCCTGTCACTCTCCAGTACAAACAAAGTATTTCAGTGACTTTCCATTAACTTTTGGACAAGGCCTGACACAAATGGGAACCCAGCAGTCTTCTCAACCTCAGCTCCCACTAGTTCACCAGACAGACGGCCCGCACCGCGGCCAGGCTGGGAAGCTCGCCGTGCCTTTGCTTACTCCCACTTTCCTCCCTGTGCTGGTGGAGTCACGGTTTGGGGAAATGGCTGCCTTTTCCTGGAGCTACTCAGATCCTACTCACTTTCACAGTTCTCCTCAAGGGCCTGGATTTCTTGAGCCTACAGGGATCTCTTTTCGTTCTGATCTCTTAACAGCTTGTATTGTTTCTCTTTGCCCTAGTCTCATAGAATTCTAGATCTGGTACTTCATACCTGATGAAATTACTTTGAATTGAATACCTTTTCTTGTTTGTCAGTCATATGTTCAGAACTGTCTGAATACATACATTGTCTTACTTGTTATTGTTATTGCATTTCCTCCGTGGGCCTAAAAACAGTGAGTCAGTTTAGCAGTACTGACAGCATATTTGAATAGAAAATTGAATCTAATGGATGTTGAAAACTCTTTGTGTTTCTACTGTTTGTTTTCTTCTTGTTGTTCCTTTCCTTGTTTTTGTTTGTTTTTTGTTTTGGCCTCTTTCTCCCTTATCTCAAGTATCTTTAGTGTCCAGAACACTCTTGTTGGAAACAAATACTTTATCTTTCTTTCAGTGGTTAGAAGATCATGGGTTCTGGATTTAGATTGTCTGCATGGGAATCCTTGGATGAGTTATTTAATCTCTCTCAGTTTCCTCACATGTAAAATAGGGTTAGTGATAGTATCTAACAGATAGGAAGGTAATGAAAGTGCTTTTTGCAGCGCTAGTACAGAGCTGGCACTCATTAAAAATACCTATTATGTTATGTCGATATAAATTAGGATGGTGCTACTTGGTTGGTAGTCAGTATTCATGAGTTAAATGAATCAATGCACAATAAGGTGGAGGGAGGGGTCTGGGTTCCTAAATCTACCTTCTGAATCCAGCAAGAAAACAGGCAGTAAGTGACTTGGCACTTAACTGCTTTTTTGTAAAAGAATAAATAGAACCAAGAAAGATGATCCTGGCAACGTCTTAGTTTTATAGAAGATTGATGGAGATCACAAGTTTGGTAAACTAGACTTAGGAAAAGGGACTCCTCACTCATAGTGGCTTTTGTTTTACAAATTGGATCTGGAAAAGAAATAGCTCAAGTGTCCGAAAAATTAAAGAATTGAGGTGTCACCTGGGAGCATTTCCTTATTCTGTGCAGTAGCACTGTCGGCACTTAACAAGGGGTGACCGGAAGAATGTCTTAGTCCTGATTAATATCTTATTTTAACCAATATAGTGTTGTGGTCTGTGTTCAAAAGGATGGGGTGAGAACACACTGGGGCGAACGGGGTCACGCGGCTACAGTCAACTCTTCAGTATTGATATGTGGCGAGGGATTTTTTTTTTCACGTTGTAGCTGATGCTTGCAAGCCTGAGATCCCATCATCATGAAAAAATCCTTGTGCTTATCCCAAAATTTTCCACAGCTATGTGCTCTTCTATGGGCTGATTTCACATGGTGTGAAGAAATCTTTTTTTTTATTAGTTCTGTGTTTACTCAATTTTCTAGCCATTAGTTTTCGAGAATGACTCCTTCATGACGCATCAGGGAAGATTTGCCTCTGCCTCCGCAGAATAGCCTTCCGTTTTAAAAAGATAATTGGGGACAATTTTCTTTAATCTTTCACTTAAATGTATATACAGAGTATGAAGTACAATCATAATTCCTCTTAAAGGCCCAAAACACATTTGAAGATAGAATAGTTTGAGAAGAAAATCAAGGCATGTAGACTCTCCCAACTAGGAAGTGACTGACGACATCAACCGGTTCAGCAGTTCCCAACCTGAGAGGTTTGGGCACTTCTTTTCTGAGTTAGTTAAGTATAAGTAATATCTATAGACTAAACATCTATCTATCTAATGCAGTTTTAAAAATATGTTGAATATTGGGATTATTAAACTGTATTCATTTAAAATTGCTAATGAATTCAGGGTGGCTTGACTGCATGTGTATTTTAATTGATACAAAGAAAACGTGTAAGCTCGATCAGGTGGGAGGATGTGGCAAAATAATCTTGTTACATTAAAAGGGGTCCTCCTAGGATACGTTAAGAAAGCCTGGACTAATGGTATCCACACACAGGCCCTAAACTGGTATCAGCAGTCAGCCTACTGCAGACCACAGCCAGATCCAGCCCTGGGCCGGACCCAAAGGACCAGCATCCAGCCTCAGACAAGAACATGGAAAAACTCACCTTTCTTCCATCTCTTACTTCTTCCCTCAAGTTAGTGCTCTTCGGGATTGCAGCTGGCACTTGTTTATTAGGAAATTACCCGCTTTTCAAAACTGACAATGGAGCACACATACTTTGGTGAATTAGCTTTTATATAACACAAAATGTTTCAAGTCTTTTACTAGCTAATTGTTAGCAAGAGCCTGGTGCAACGGAGTGGTAATGGATTGCTTTTGTTAACAATGAAGGCTTTGAAAAATATAGGAAAGTCTCCAAGATCAAATTGTTAAATTTAATATTCAAAATATGAAACTCTGTTCTATCAGATGTTAATATTTGAAAAAACTGATTTTATTCTAAATTTAGCCAAATTTAACCATGCAGGGCATTTTTAGCAAGTTCCATTTGAATGAAGAATTTATGTCTTTCATAATAATTCTTAAAATGTATATTAAATTACGTAATATCATATAAAATAGAAGTAAAGCACAAATTTCCAAGCAAAATTCTTGGCACTATATTTCCCCATAACCTTTATGAGACAGTGACTGTTTTTCTTTTCTCAACCAAAAATCAATGGACCACAATGCTATTTAGGCACATCTCTCATTGATTTATTTATTCAGCAGATATTTCTTGAATGTCTCTGTAATGGCCTTGCTGTATAGCTGGAGGCAGATACAGATATACAGCGGCATCCCTGAGCCCAAAGAACTTTTAATCCAGTTTGAGACAAAATAGAGAAAAAGAGAAGCATATATTGAATGTAGCGATACTCTCTTTATTTAAATAGCCTCTGTGATAGGCTTTTTAAAGAAGTCTTTTTCCTCTGGACTAATCCATTCTTAACTGAGAATTGGTTTAAGAATTCAAAAAGGAAAATCCTCTGTTTTTGTTTAGTATGTAATTAAAGAGAGAAGAAAATAAAAATTTAGAAAGCTTTAGAATCTAATAAATAGTAAATGATTGTTTCTCATTGATTGACTGGTAATTTGAAGGGTTTCCTTAAATTAAAAATGATTCTGACGCATTTAAAAATTTACATACAACTTGAATGTTGAGTGAGCAGTGCGGATGGCTGATTAGCTGATCAGATGAGTGAATCTACTAAGGCAATATCTTCAGTTTGTGGTTCTGTTTAGCTTCAGAACTGTAGGTGGAAAGGAACATGAACTTAGTGGATATTTGTTCTTAAATCTAAATGTGGATGGGCCTAATAATAATAATAATGAGTAATAATAACAACAACAACAATAATAATAATGACAACTAATATTTATACCTAACCTTTTTAACTCACTAGGTAATTTAAAATATAATTGCTTACTTATTCCTCAGAATCATCCTGGGAAGTCAATACATTTTTATTTCCATTTTATAGATGAGACTAAGGCAAAAAGATTAAGAAATTTGTTCAAGGCCCTTCAGCTCATAAACAGTAAGACGGGATTCAAACTTTGCAGCCTGATTCCAGCCAGCATCAAACTCTTTCATCTCCACAGTGTATCACATTTACCTGTAACAACATCCAGTTCACTGAAAGTGCAGGGTGTGTTATACCTGCGATGCTCTCATATATTTTCATTAAAATCCGCATTTCTGGAGTTTTCTAGTCTCAGATTATTTGCAAAGAGCATTCACACCCCTTTGCAGATAGTTTTTATACTCTTTCCTTAAGAAGAATGTCCTGGTACTGTTTTCCTATGAAGAAGAACATCAGGTGTGCCAGTCTCCCAGCTTCCGGTGGCAAAGCATTCATCTTACTTTTTTATTGTTCATTGTGCTTATGAAAAACATTTTACTCTGAAAATGTCACATCAAAAATGAATTTCATCAGCAGAACCCTCTGAAAAATCATTCAGTAGTCACAAAAAGTAAGAAAAAGCCAGGTACTGCATTTGATATTAGGAAGCTGGCCGAGACTGGAGCTGTTGCTTCTTGTGCTTGCCATGAGCTGTGCCCTAGTAATAGGAGAGCCTGCCCTTCCGTCACTTATGCATACCCACAGAGCATTCATTACACACTCAGAGATGATGAATTAGGAATGCAGCTATCCCTATTTAAAACACTGCTATTGCGTGTCTAGCTAATGCCTAGTGCCATGTGATTGTAAATCGCCTACATCAATGCTGCTACTTCCCATGCAACATCTTACAGTTAAAATGCTAACTCTCAAAGGCATTGATTTAAACAATCATTTTATGCTTGGTCATTCAATAAACATTTTCTGTGTCATTCAGCCACAAATCAGCCTTGGAGAAACTTTGCAATTTACAGCTAAATCATTCGCACGACTATTGCATGATGACGTACGGATTTATGGAAGTTTCACAAATATTTAATGTTAATATTCTTCTCAGGTGTGGGAAAAGGGCAAACATGCACAATAGATATTTAAGCTTGAAATTTTATTTTCTGTCAATGTCTTCAAAGATACCTGAATTATTGTCTAAATCTAAGTTCAATAAATTTAGGATTGCCTGATTTCTGCAGACCCTGGGGATAAAAGTATCTAGAAGACAGAGTGAAATGCCACAAAAATCCTAGGAATTGTTTTATGATTAATATTTTTTCTCTGTTGAGCACTACCACTAACAGACATAAAAAAAATTGCTAGCAAAGGCAATAAAACAATAGCTATTAAAGCCTTTATTTTTATTGCATTGGATATTACTGGTAATATCTATTTGACTTAGAAATTATCCCCCAATAAAATTACACATAAATGAGATTATATTCTATCTTGCAATGCATCCTACTCTATAAGGAATGATTTATGTAGTTTTTAATATTTTATTACATTGGTTCTCACACATGGCTGGACTTTAAAATCTCTTGGTCAGCTTCTAAAAAAATACTGAAGCCTGGGCCTTACTTGCCCAGAGATTCTGATTCATTTGGTTTGGACAGGGCCTCAAATGAACGTATTGTTTCTCGCAAGCAGACAGCCTGTTGTTTTAACCAAAACATGGAATGAGAGAAAGAATACTGAGCCACATGTAGTTTAGATCCAAGTTCTGGTCCTGACTGAAAATAAACTGTTATGTGATCTTGTCTAGGTCATTTAAGAGCTGTGGGCTAGATTTTTTCATTCTTAAAATGCAATTTGAACCACACGATCTCCAATGCAATAGTTTTCTATGATCTCCAAGATACGGTATTGAGAAGATGGAATCTCAGCTTTATCATCTCTTGATGGTAGGTGCTTTTAAGCATTGAGCAATTTTAGGCACGTACACAAAGGCATTGGCTCAAAGATCCTAGAGTGATAATGCAGATAATGTCCTCAGGCTGTGAAAAAAAGTAGTTCATCTTATAAACAGGCTTTTCCAGTTTTCTCAAATCTTGCCTTCATCTCCCCTAGGATCTTTGCTTAGGTGTTTTTTTGTTTGTTTGTTTTCTTCCCTTTGCTTACAACTTATGAATCATGAACTCCACAAAAACTCTGTGGGGATTTTGAAACTTGAAAATCTTGATCCTGTTGCAGATAAAGAGGATGGTATTGTAGTACAACCCAAACCACATTTATGAAGAAAATTTCACTTTTTCTGATAGAAAAAAAGGGGGGAGGTTATATGTTAAATGTGCTAACAAACAGAAAACACTTAAGCAAAAAAAAGAAAAGAGAGAGAGACAATCAGTAGCTAGAAGCCCTAGGTTGCCGTCCTCGCTCCTGTCAATCATAAGCCTTTTGACTTTATGATCTCGTTTACACCGCCTCATCTGTAAAACCTGGAGATAATTGTTCCTTTCATTCATCTCACTATTTTTATGGGACTAAAAATACGATAATGCTTAATAAAATGGTGAGAACTGTCAGATATAATTACTGACATTAATAAATATCAGGTATTTAATTAGTGCCAGGATACATAAGAGAGTCAGAAAGTTTAAAGGGCAACCAAGACAGTGCTGGATTCGCAAAGCAAAAGGTGGGCAATCCAAAGAGGAGGCATAGGTACCAATAGCAGGTGGAGCAATGAGGTCGAGACGGTAGGAATGGATGAAGAGATTTGGCAAGAATGAGGTCACTGGTAACCTTTCAGGAGAAAGTTCAGTGGAATGAAGAGGATGGAAGTCAGATGACAGACAAGGAATATTCCATGTTTCTTCTAATACCAAGTGTTACTATCAGAGAAGATGAGTCGTCTGTGAGCCTCAGCATGGGAACATTCACAGCACATTCATAGAACATTCATAAGTTGTCAGAGTTAAGCATAAGAGCAGAGATGAGTCATTCTTCCAGGCCAGCCTCTGTTTAACCCATGCTGTATTCAAATGAGCGAGATAGGGAAGCTGCTTCTGATGAGTTTTACTATGACGTGCGTTTCTTATCTTTTCCTTATTTAATTTGGAAGGAAACATCACGAATAATTTTCTTCAATGTGACATAGCTCTAAGAAGATATCCTTATGTATTATGATAGAGGGGTTGGGGCAAAATGATCTCCTGAGATATTGAGATTCTATACATACTATCTCACTCACTCCTTATTTAAATGCGTTGGTCTCTCTTACTCGTTTCCTACCCATCCCTATTCCACTCTTTTTGTGTGGAGGTGAGGGGAGCTTAGGGAGATACATATGACAGAGATTGCCTCTATATATAGTATACAGACGTACATATACACATATACATATACCTACACACAGGTAGCATCTGTTGTATCTTCCTTGAGAGCAAATAGAGACATGTATCACCACCCTGTCTTACATGGTGCTATAAAACAAACTGATTTGGACTTCAGAATGGCATAAAATTAAAAAAAAAGATGACATGACAGGAATATCGATCTTATGACTGGTATAGTCTCCTCTCAAGTTCCTATGGCTCTTGGACTATAAATTCAGACTTCAGGATCCTTCAAAACTCCCATCGTCTCACCAGTCAGCCCCGCATACTCCCTGGAACAACATTCATTTCCTTCCTCTAAAGACACCTGCTAATACATACCTATTTGGAAATCCAGTTATCTCTCCACCTCTGCACCAGAGGAAGCAGTACTTCAGGTCTGTTCTTCCTGGTTTAGTGCAGCTGCTTCCTGAGAATATATGACAAATGAAGTGAAATGAAGCCCGAAAGCTCACCAAGAAGAAACCTGAGTTCTACAGGAATCTTGAGCCAATTCCCTAGAGGTCTTCTGAACCCTACCTGGATGACAGCGTGTCTTTGGATTTGGAAAACAGATCGCCCCTGTAGCTGTGGGGCTCCAAAAGGATTGTAAACTGCTCTTTTCTGTGTCGTTACCCTGTGCTGCCAGTCTCACAGTAGGTATCATGGCCTCCTAATGTGAAACCTTCTGCTCTTTGTGCTGGTGTCTGTTGTACTGAGGTCTCTGGTGGCTTTGAGAAATCCTTGACTCTCCAAAATCACAAGTCAATAAAAAATATTCAAAAGACAATGCTGAATCAAGCTCAACAATGGATAGGGCTAGGCTAGGCTAGGATAGGAATAGCTTTTGATGTTAGAGGGTAAATTTGAGAGTGGAAGCATTGATATTTATAATATCTCTCAAAAGAGTTCAAAATATTTTTATGACACTTCAGCTCCAGTTAGTTGGAGCTTTTGCTTATTTTTTGTCCTAACCCACATTCAAACCCACATTATCCCTTCCTCTGGGAACCTTCCCTAGTTAACTTTATTATCACTTCCTCTGGGAACCGTCCCTAATTTTCCTAGACCATGCCAGGGACTTTAGTGATGGCCTTTTTTTACATCCTGAACTTTCTCCACCATAACACTTACCAGTTCTTCATGCGCTTGCATCTTTGCTTCTTTCTTGGAAAGGTAAGTTCTATGAGAAAGGGGTCGACAGCTCTGCTTATTGAGTAACTTACATGACAGGCGATATTCTAAAAACATGAAGTTAAAAATTTTGGAACATTGTCTGCACTGGCACATAAGAAGTTACAATAAATATTGACTATTGTTACTATTAGTGGTGATTTAAAAGTTGTATTCTCAAGACCAGATTCTAATATTCTTGAATCCAAAGAGATGCCTTCCTTGTGTTCGGATACCCTGCTGTCCCTAGTTTAGTATCTTGCATATAGTAGGCACTAAGTACATAGTTGTTGAATGAATTTGTTGATTACCAAAGCTGAATTCCATATTATAAATTACAGGAAGAGAAGGAAATGACATTGGGACTTGGTTGTCCTATATCTGGTAGTGATCTAACACCACAATGTTAATAATTATCACCAGTATAATTCCTATTACATTAATGGTGTGCATGTTATCTCAACCAGCTCCTGGACCAGTTTTGTTAGATACGTACGAATCACATTTAGGACCAATGGTAAGGAAGACTTGCCCATTAAGCAGGCACTTAACAATACTTCTCTGCATGGATCAGTGCTGCTCACAAGAAACTGTGTCATTTGATGGGTTTGGTGTGGACAGCCGAAATCCTGTTGAGCAGGAGCAATCCTTGAAGCAATCCTCAGAAAATTCAGCTTGTTGAAGACTATAACATCTTGAATCACTCTGAGAAAACCCAGAAGCTTAAGGAGCCAAGGGACTCCATCTGTTGGCGACCCAGCCATCAGGAGCCCAGCCAGCACCGGACTCTTGTGTTCCGCATGGAAAAGACAAACATGCTGATCAGATCGTGGTGCTCATTACTATGAAAATTACTGTAGGAATAGTACTGAGATGGAAAGAGAAACACAGCAGCAGTGTTATTCAGAGATGCGGTGTCATCCAGTTTCATAGATTAACTAAATCTTTGCTATTGCCACTTTTTGCATTTGAAGTATTTCAAATATTTTTACTTCTGCATCCCTGATTTATGAAGGACTTAGTAACTATAATAGAAAGCATGAGAATGTATGTTCTTAGAGTTGATGGATTCCAGGTTCTCATCCTACTTTTGCTACTTTTTGTTCTGTGTACAGATCTTCCCTAGAAAATTTCATTTAAAGAAATATATTATTGGGTAAAAAGTTTGACAGCTACCTCTGTACATTATAGCTTCCTTACCTTATGGGTCAAATCCTGTTATGACAAAAAAACACTACTTCTGAATCACTATATAAAATAAAAGCTTTCTTATATGATGTTCTGTTTATTTCAAGCAATACTTTAGGCACAAAGTTGCAGTAAAATGAAAGTATTTGTCTGGGCCCTTAGATTTCCTTATAATGCAGTTTTTCTCACAGCTTTTAAATCTGGCATCAGAATTTTGGAATTAATATTATGGGCTTGTGTTAATTTGGTTAGATAATTTACATAGATTTTAACCCCTTTGCTTAGAATTCAATGCTAAGTTTTGAGGGATCACTGTTTTTGTTTCTGATAAGTAAAGACATTTTCTTCTTTAAGGGTCAAGATAGTTTAGTTATTGCTTTACTATTCATGCCTTTTTAGATAAAGAACATTTCATTTCAGTCAAAAGGAAAATTAGAATATTTCTTTAGATTTTATCAGTCTGTCAGGAATGGGAACAGATCACTCTCATAGAGATATATGGTATTTCAAGCACAAAGGTGACATTCTGTAGTTTTAAACTAATTAAAAAGGAATTAAAAATGGTTTTTACAACTTCCTAAAATTGTTACCCCCAAAAGGTAAAAATTCCCATTCTTGTCATACTCGAAAGACAAGTTTACAGTTGGGCGACGGTGCATTGTGTAGTGAAAGATTTTAAAAGATTTATTTAAAAAAAGGAAAAGTATACCCCCAAAACAGGAGGTGGGCTGACCCAAGGGAGGAAAAAGCGGCGGTCTTTGTCTCCCCTTTCTCTTATACCCTCACTTGGAGGTGGTCTTTTGATCGATTGATGGCTCTTGTCTCTGGAATGCTTAGTCACGTTTGGCCCCTTTGCGCATGTTCTTACCCATGGTGTACACAGAAAAACCCATGGGGGTGGCTAAACTGCAATGTTAATTATAATACAATGGGCACTGGGCTGTGTTCAGTTAAGTCCTTTCTCCTACCATGCAGTTGTGGCTGTAGGGTTCTAACCAGTTTCTTGCTGGCACTTATTTAAAAGAAGTAATGTCCCTTTATGCTGGAGGCTGGCATAACACCATCTTCCAGACCATCCTCCCTCTCCTCCACCTGTCTGCCCAGTGCCCTCACATATCTAACTACCTAACAAAATCACAAACACAAAACCAGTTTGTAAAAATAATTCAAGACTAGGATGTGGATGGGGGAAGGGGAAAGGAATAGGAAGCAAAAGAAGGGAGAGAACTTATATTTATTGGATATTTGCTATGTGTGAAACATTAAGCTAAGTGTGTTATACATATTCCTCCTTTTAACCCACACAATGATCCATTGAGTACATACAATAATCCCCAATTTCTTAGTGAGAACCTGAGTGGTAAATAATATTTCCAAGGTCGAGCAGTGATGGAGCTGGGGTTTGAAACTACGTTTGTTAGATTTCAGATCCCTGGTCTTTCCTGGTGTTCCTCTGGATCCCGAGACCAGTCTGTTTTTGCATGGTTCCTACAAACTGCCCTTCTCACTCCTCCTGCGGGGGTTCTCACTGATCTCGGTCTAAACCTCCAGTCACGTTCCATCCTGCTCTCCATCTCTTCAGCCTTCTAATGCCAATCCCTTTGTGGCTCCTTCTCCCATTTGGGGGCCATCTCAATCTTCACACACAGAACTCTTTGCTCCACATGTTCCTTAGTTTCCACTTGACCCCAGGTTAGCTTTAACTTTTGACTACACAGCATCAGTCTACCTTAGGTTAAAGAGCCTCTTGATTTAAAGAAATACCAGGGCCTCACTTTGCTAATCCTGCAAGGAAATCACATCTCCTCAGCTTACTTTGGAGCCTTTAAATTGAGGATCCAGGTGTCTTTTTATATGGAAATTAGAGGAGCTGGAGAATGGAAAGAGCCAAAGGCGTAAACTATTTGAAGTCAACAACTGGCTCCCAGGTGAAGCCCTTGGAGGCATGGAGAGCCAAGAGTCAGCCCTTCCCCCGTCCCAAATAGCCCATCAGATAGGGAGGAGGGTCACTCAGAGGGGAGGATGGTTGAGTGGCGTTAGCCTGAAGTAGAAAAGGCATTGGTAGTTGTGGGTGAGAGGTGACTGGGTGCCTGGAGGCCAGAAAACTCAGATGTTTTCTAGCCAAAGGCTGAACAAAAAAGACTGGAATGATGAATAAGTCAACCTGAAGCTGAGGCATCTGGTTTTGTAGAAAATAAATCGTAGAGGGACATAGTTTTTCGGTGACCCAACAACAGTCTGTAATGCCATTGAGGAAAAAGGAATCTCTCCTTGATTTTGAGCCTAGGTAGAAGGAAACAATGAAAAGCTTTCTTTTCAGGTGATTTGCAAGGAATAGAAGTTTCTTGTACCTGGGATCCTATTGACAATCGGGAGAACTCTGGTGTAGAATTTCACAAAAGACCCTCCTCTTTTGTAGGTCAGAGTTGGACAGGGAAGAAGGCTTGACTTTCCCCAGGCCACACTAGAAAGGCCTGAGAAACATTTTTTAAGTTTCTTTCCTTTTCTGGATGATAAACCAGGCCCGATGTCTTACACTTTTTGTTGTATCCTCCAGCATCCCGCTCCGCATCTAGAACACAAACAGTGCTCCATAAATGTTCTCTAGGTGGATGAATGGGTTGGGCCTCAAACAGGATGATGTATGTGAAGGTACTGAAGAGGGTGGAGGGTTAAAAGTGTAGGCTTGAGGGCAGATTGCCTGGCTTGAAATCGTTACAACCCAATTTACTAATTGTGTGACTTGGAGCATCATTTGACACCTTTCTGTGCCTCAGTTTTTCCTCCTTTATAAAGCAGAAATGATAGTATCACTATCTCTGAAGGATGTTGTGGGTGTTAAATAAGCACAAGGCATTTAGAACCGTGCCTGGCCCATAGTAAGAGTTCAGTAAAATTTAGACACTTGGGACTCAGCAACTTGGAAATTATAAACCAAAAAGGGGTTTTATTGTTTTAAAAATAACCAAGATTGGATAAAAGGCTAATGCAATTCAGTAAAAACCATGGCGTTGAAGTGTATAATATTTTAAGTTTGTTTATTAGCAGTCATAAAGGTTGTAACTTGGAGTAATTTGTCATTTTACTTATGCATGAATTTACGTTGCCAGTACTGTTAGACTGGTATGCAGGATGAATCTGTTCTCTGCAGACTGTGCCCCCCAAATACCTTGCCTGACATTTCTTGTAGCTACATATTCATTATCTATTTTCTTAATAAGCACTATGAACACAAGCACTATACCTGTCTTATTTTTAGAGCCTGACACAATAATAAATACAGCTAAAAATGTGGTTCATTTACTATGTGCTAGCTACTATGCTAAAAGCTAACATAATTGACGTCAATTAATATCTCATTCAGTACTCACAACAACACTTTGAAATGGGCATAATCATTGTAATAGATCATTGTTCAAAAATATTCATTCTCCTGCTGCCACTTCCCTACTCTCAATTCTGGTTTCAGACACGTGACTTACTTGGACCAATGGGATGTAAGCAGACATGGTGCTAGCTAAGGCTTAAGAAGTACATGCATGGGTGGGCTGGCTTTTTTGCACCTCACCATCATCATGAAAAACAATGCCTAGGCTAGCCACTGGTTCCAGGAACAGGATGAGGGACCCCTAGAGCAGCGCTAAGCCCTTAGCCCAAAGCAGTCAAGATCAGCCCACCACCAGTCAAATTCCAGACTCATGAGGAAGCCCATCCAAAATCAGTAGAGCTTTCTAGGTTTCTCTAGGCACTTGAAATTTTAACGTTATTGTTACGGAAACGACAGGCCAGTCAAG